CACGTTTTGTCCAAATCCGTTGGTGTGAAGTTGCGGTGGAGCCTCTCAACTTCTTCTAGTGATGACTTCTTGTCCTGATGGTGTAGATCTGTGGCCTACCCTTGGTGTAGGCGCGTGAAGGGCCTTTCCTTTGTCTGTTGATGGGGTGCGGCGTCTCTTGGAAGCCGTGGAGCAGTGTTTCTTTTGTTATAGTTCTTGAATCCAATTGGTGTGGTTTTATGTTTCTGGCTTCATATCCTCTTGCATGGATCGAGCGTTCTCTGTACATGTGTTTTGGTCTTGGTTACACAGTTTCTAGTCTTCTGGCTAATGGTTTGAGTTGATTTGGTTTAGTTCTGGTCTTGATCAGAGCGGTTTCGGAGTGGTTTGCGGTTGATCTGTCTTCTCGTAACTTCAATAGATTGGAAGCACTGTAATGAGACACTCTCGGATCCTCATTCCTTGAGCTTATTCGTGCAGGGATGCTTTGTAGCACTATCAGATCTTGCGGTTGTTCTCTCTTTGTGATCTTCTTTTGATATTATTGTAGTGATTGGTAATATTCTTGTATATTAAATGATTCAGCAACTTTAAGGAAAGATAGCTAGTTATTTCCCCACTCGGTTTTATATAAAAAGATTTGTTCATGTCAAAATAAAGATTTCGGGTCTAGTTTAACATTATACGAGATACATTTAAGCTCAGCAAGTGTAAGTACAACTGCCAAATGTTGTGTGACTTGCTAGGCTTGTTATTTGCGAGACAAAGGCCATCATCCCTTTGTACTTCATAAAACAAAGTGGTTGGCATTCTTGAATGCTGCATGGCTTGCTAAGCTTCAAGGGCACAATACATGTTCTTCCATACGTTCCATCTGCACTTCGCAAAGCCAAAAAAGCTATAGAACACTAAAAAGGCTTACCAATAAATTTAAATAAACATACATTTGCAACAAATGAAAAGTTTTTATCTCTATAATATTATTTGAGAAGTCAGTTTCTTAGGTGTCGCGTTCACGTTAACTTTCACGTTGGTTGATTACTATGATACCCCTAATGAATTAAATTATATTTGAGTATTATTATTTCCTTTTTAAAATCTTCCAAATAACAATATAAAATAAAAAAAAAAAGAAATATTTATAAAATTTACAAAACTATTTAAAAACGAAAAATAAGTATATATATAATATAGTTTCATAAAAATGGAAAGTTTACAAAATAGTAATATTTAACTTAAATATATTTTTAAATAACATAAATTATACTTTTTAAGTAATAAAATACTTTATATCTATATCTTCTTAGATGAAAAAAACATTTGTATATAATGTGTTTTCATAAAAAAGTTCATACAAATAATCTTTATATTTAAAAAAGAAATATTTTAAAAAAAAAATAATTTAAACAATAAAATATATATTTTCAAAGTAATTATTTTTTATATATCTATCTATTTTATTAGATGATTACATAAAATAATTAAGTAACATAAACTGATATATGTATATTAATTGACAAAAAAGTTATAATTAGTATTATGGAAATATTTTTTAGTATATTTATTTGATTATAATATCTTACAATTACAGAAAAAATATAAATTATATTTTACTTAATAATATAATTTCTCAAAACAATCACATTTTTACTGCATATTTTAAGAGATGTTAAAAACAAAACTAAAAATAAATTTAATAGTAAACATCTTTTGATCAAATAACTACAATTCTTTTAAAATATCATAACACTGTAATTTAACGAGGTAGATATATTATATTTTAATAGTTAAAATTAGATGTTTTCTTAATAACTCTATTGATGTTTAGTTTTCTGTTTTTATGTTTGTGGAATTTAATATAACCATAATCAAAATACTTAAACAAATCAGAATTCCTTATTTTTAAAATTATTTAAAATAAATTTCAGTTTACCATCCATTCAATCTAAGGCATAAATTATTTAGACTTTATAAAATATTTTTAAATATTGTAAATATTGATATGTTTTCATAAGCTTCCAAAATTTTATTATTACTTATGTATGTAATTTAGAATCAAACACTTTAGTTTTTATTTTTTTCGTTCTAAGCACAAAAAATCTTAATATACATAATATTACTAAGATAAATTTATATTTCTAAGATAACAACCAAAATAAATGTAAATAAAACAATTAATCAAAAATTAGAATAAAAAAGATTATAGTTGAATTCAGAGAAATAGATAGAATCCAATATATATATATATATATATATATATATATATATATATATATATATATATATATATATATATATATATATATATATATATATATATATATATCCAAATGATAAAACTGACTAAATATAATATATCTAAAATTATATATAACTAAAATAATATAATATTATTAATATAAATTATACATACAAACTATAAATTAATATAAATTTTAAAGTAAATATCAATCAACTATTATAATTTATTTATTTTATAAATATTTATGTCCGTGCATGAGCACGGGAAAATCACCTAGTATTATTATATAAACGGACAAGCATATATTATTTGATAATGATTAGTTGAAATGTCTTATTGACAAATGATCATTGTATATATAATCACCTGCCTAATTCGTCTTAATAGCTTTTTACTTGTAAAACAAACTTTGCTTAATCGCTTTAGACGCATCGATTTCAATATTAATATTTGATGTTCATATATTGTTCAATGGAATGCAAGTCATGTGAATTCTTACCTGAGAGAACAAACATGGAGATGAAAAGATATATGTCAGCTCGTACTCCATCTATTTTAATAGAGTATTGATGATATACTCCTATTTGAATACATAAAATGTTTTAGAGGTTTTTCTTTCATTCTTACCTATTTGATGTCCTGCATAGCTTATAAAAATATTTGTATTCTATACTAGTTCTGATTTTTGGCGGTTAAATCAATAATTTATTCGTTTCTTAATTTACGTCTACTTTTGCTTGTAAAATAAAAGTTTTCTAATAAATCTAAAACGAAGGAACTATAAGATAAATAAGAAGAGGTGGTGTGTTCTTCTGTTGGATAGGAACAGGATCAATGAAATGCTGACCAGAAGAAGAGGTGGTATGTGTTCTTTAAACTGATAAGAATAGGACAGGAGAGGTGTTGTGTTCTTTTAATTGGATGAGAGCACGATCAATGAGATATGCTGACCACGAAAGCATCTAAATCCGGAATCGTAGATAATTGTTATACCAAATTTAAGGTCTTCTTTTTTAGCTAAAACGAAATTTAAGGTCTTGAGTTGCATAATTTGTTTACTACATGCAAAGCATTCCCTATAAGGATGATTTTCAACTGAAATGATGATATAATTATATTAATTTTTAGTTTTATTTTTTCCAATAAAATTATCATCAAAATATTTTGTTTTATTGTATACGATAATACGAACTTTATGAACTACGTCAAATAATCGATAAATTTATTAATAATAAAACATGTTAAAAAGGATGATCACAATAAATACCAAAAAAAAACAGTGGTTTAAGTCCAAGACCGAATGATATATGGTCGAAACCTCGGGATCTCTGAGTTTCTGGTCTAACAACAATAACAAGTCACAACAACAAAACTTACCATATAATTTAGTCCATTAATCTAGATTTTTTTTTGCATTTAGTGTTTATCGTTTAGCTTAAGTTCGATTAAAATAGATATAAGAAAAAAATTATTTTTTCATGAATTATGATAACTTAAAACTCTTTTAGCAGAACTTTCTTTTTTTATAACTGGCTAATGTTTTGGAAGGCGAATTGGAGCGCAAGTAATCTCTATATCTTTAACCCACACATGCTCTGCAGTGAACATTTCTATATTAGATTAATATAAAGAGCTAAATACATTTATGATTCATATATCGATTCTCACATATGGACAAGTATAATTGCAGATCAGTCGTTGGATTTATAAGTGCCAACAACCCAAGTTAAGATGTGAGAAAAACGTGCTTCATTTCCTGACCATTCGTACACATAAGACATGACTCACATGACTAAATGTAGACCAGGGTATATTTTTGTACTTGTCTGTATCCTATTCTTTCTCCATTCAACAAAATTTAAGAACAAAGCATGTAAGAAAATCTCAAAAGGCAAAACCAACAAAAGCTTAAAACATGATTGATTTGTAGGAGTTATGTAATTTCCTTCGCCTATCAACTTAATAAAGTGGTGAGGAAGGGGTCAGTTGGATTTCAATATTTCAACGGAAGATATAGGAGCATCTACATTGCTAAAGTACTCTTAAGTGAAAAACATTTAATATAATTTCGTAGTTGTCTAAATAATTTTTAATCTAACAAGGGAGGACGAGCAATTTAGTGAGAACACATATTCATGAATTTTAACAAAAAATCGAAAGTAGATATGTTAAGCTCATTTCATTACAACGAATCTGTTTCTTGTTTTTTAATTACATTGGTAAGCTGAGTGTCCGACTGATCCGATAAATGAGCAAGTCGCTTCGCTTTATGAACCCATTATACTAAAGAGTTTGGACCAAAGCCGAGACACAGAGTGGCTCACATTCAGTTCAATTGTTCTCAAGTACGTTCAACAAAGTTTTTTTTTTGTGTGGAAATTTACGTCTTTAGACTCTAAATCTATTAACCAATGTACCATCATAAAGCTGGTTAAGAGCACTAACTCTAGCAACATGCGACGTATTCAAGGAAGATAATTAAAAAGTGGAGTAGTTACGTTGTCAGAAAGAAAAATAACATAGACTTAACGCATAGCTAGGAACTTTATAATATAGTACATATTAACGACTACATTAAGTTTTCATCAGTTGTAGTATGATACTATGATATACTTTTGGAAACGTCCTTTTACCCAAGATATTACAATATTTTTACTAGCCAGTGTTATTGTGGCAACGCGACGTGCTCAAAACAATGCATATGTGGGGACCGACGCGACGTCCTCAACGAACATCACGTGGTTTAATACAAAGAGTGTTACATTGCATTCCCTTTAAATTCGTAGCCAACGATCTTCTTCCTTTCATCTTCAAACACACCATAACTTGAGGAAAAAGCCTTTTCAATGGCGTTTCCTCGTAGCAGCTCTGTTTCTTTCTTCACTTTCCTTCTATTCGCCGTCTTAATCAACACGGCCATCTCTTCTCGCGTCTCATCCTTCATCAAGCTCCCCGGCTCCATCGACGAATCTGTCTCTTCCTCTCTCACTTCCTACTGCGAGAGCTGGAGATTGGCCGTCGAGACCAACAATGCTGGAAGCTGGAGGGTGGTTCCATCCCAATGTGTCAGCTCTCTTGAAACTTATTACGACAAAGGCCAGTTCGACAAGGACTACAGTGTAGTCGCGGGTTACGCTCACGCTTACGCTAAAACGATCAAGCTAAAGGGAGACGGCAAGGACGCTTGGGTATTTGACATAGATGAGACGCTCCTCTCGAACCTCAAGTATTACAAGGCTCATGGTTACGGGTAATGCTCTTTGTAGATTTAGCTATTGGATTTTGTTGTCTAGAATGCGTTTTATATCAACGGTTATAACTAAAAAAGTGTGGTGTGGTCTAGTGGCTTGTTACAGTTGTTAGAAGGTTATGGGCAGAATTGCTCACTAATCCCAAATTTATTCAAGTTAATATATATGAACGTTAATATTTATTAAAAGAAGAAGAACACTAAATTTTTTAGTAAATTGTTTAAGGTTCCAAAAATCTCAAGAACCTGCATTATTTATGGGTAGGCTATGGACTGAGTTTCAGGCTTCCAGTATCTATGCAAAATTTTGCTTTTTCTTTCTTGGTCACACATCTAGATAGATCTGATTTCCTCTTTAGATTTTTTTGGTGCTATTTTAATTGTTGGTTTTTCTGTCGTACTAAGCAGTTTGGTTGAATAATGTTTCTTGTCGATTTAGGTCTGAGCCTTACAACTCGATTGCTTTCAACGAGTGGGTCGTACAAGGTACAGCCCCAGGTTTCGCTGCGAGTTTGAAACTATTCAACCGTCTCAAGAAGCTTGGTTTCACTATTATTCTGCTAACTGGCCGGGACGAGGTTCAGAGGAGTGTAACCGAGCAAAATCTCCTGGACGCCGGTTATTCCGGTTGGGAGTATCTCCTACTGAGGTAAGCTATACCAAAACTATATCTCTTATCTTTGGTTTAAATTAAAATTCCAGGACTCGTTCAGTTCTGTAACTTTCAAACCTTACCAACTTATCTTTGACTATTGATTTAAACTTTGGTTGTAAAACTCGTTTGATCTTTGATTATTGATTTAAAATCTGTTGATCAATATGTTGATGGTAGTATGTTACTACTATCAACCAGTAAAATAAAACGAAAAAAAATTGGGTTACTAATGATATCAAGATACTAACTAAGTGACAGTGGCCACTTAGTTTTGGTAAGATACGATTCTTAGCTTTTAACTAAGAAAACTAATAACTGGTTTTTAAATTAGAGATATAAGACCACCATTAATTGGGATACTTACCTCGGGTGTTTAGTCATTAAAAAAAATATGAAAAAGAAGAAGCATCGGTGCTTAAACAAGCACCATAGGCACCATTGCTTAAGACCATGTTTATTGCAAAAACCACTAATGGTTCCTTAAGCAGGCCTGGTTGAATTTTTAATTATTAAAATTAGGTTAAGGAACTTTGTTAAGAGATGTTTAATTTATAGTGATTTATTGGTGGTCCCTTAATAAAAGTTTTTGAGAGTAAAAAAAAATTCTAGCAATCACCTCGCTTTGCTAAACACCTGAATTAAAACAGAGGAAAAGAGGGAAGTGGAGGTTCTGACCTGATTTAACATGATATCAAACTCTTTGTCTAGCTTGAAAACGCCAGAGTCAAGGCCATTCTTGAGTGGACGCTCCTCTGTCACTCGTTCTACTCGATTGTTTGACTTCGTTTCAGTGTCTGATAAGTCGGAGATGTTGTTGGTCCAGAAGGACATTGAAGATTGAGAGAGTCTGGGGTTAGAGAGAAGAGATAGATAGAGTCTTCTTGAGAGGGTAGCAGCCATTGAATTTGACATTTTTTAGTTCGAAATCAAGAGCGTAGCAGCCTTCGTCACCACCGAGATCTATCGCCGTCGGTAGAGGAGAGAAGGGAGAGAGAAGGAAGAAAGAAAGAATGAAAAAAAAAACAAGGCAACATCGCGACTCCAATGAAATACCAACACGTGGTCAGAAGGGGCGTGTCTTTAATCCCTTCCCAAAGGGACGTACTTTTGATTAATCACCCACTTTCTCTTTTTTTTTTAATATATTTTAACCTAAACTACCTTGCTAAGGGCTTGCAATAAACTTGCTCTTAAAGATACGTGGCACGCTGCTTTTGAGTAATTTTTTTTTCAAACACTTTTTTTTTTCTGATACATATTTTTATGACCAAAATGACATCTAAATATGAAAATGATTTAACTAACACCAATTTTTCTTTATAAATGATAAAAATGACACATAAAGATGGAAAATAAAAAAAAAATCATTTGTTTTTGTTCTTTTTTTCGTTTGAAACATTGTTTTTATGACCAATATGTTTTTTTAAATGACCAAAATAACACCAAAAATTGAAAAAAAAAACTTTTTTTATTTTTTTTTTTCTGAAACACTATTTTATGACCAAAATCACACCTAAATATGAAAATGATCTAACTAGCATCATTTTTTTAAATGACCAAAATGACATCTAAAGATGAAAAATAAAAAAAAAATCTATATTTTTATTTCAGAATCTATGTTTAAATGTTTCTTTTTATGTTTTATTTAATAAATAAATTGTATCTTTAAGAAGATAATATTTTTTTTTTCTTAAAACCTCAAAATAAGCACTTCTCATTGGAGCACCAAAATGTTCGAGGGTGCTTAATGTTGCATCTTAAATCACTTTTACAACTTAAAATTATTAAAAAGAAAAAAATAATAAGCACCCTTAATTGGGGATTTGGGTTGATGGAGCTCTAAGAGCCGGCTCTTACCAAAAAGTGTACAAATTTTTAAAAATAAAAAAATATTAAATTATGAGTTAAAACGCTACCCTAAGATTTCTCCAATAAACATGCCCTAAGGTTTCTTCTTTTTTTCTGGTTAATGTGATAAATGTAGGGGTCACGAAGATCAAGGCAAAGCAGCTGCACAGTACAAATCAGAGCAGCGATCAAGGATGGTCAAGAAAGGCTACAGACTCCATGGAAATACTGGCGACCAATGGAGTGACCTGCAAGGTTTTGCTGTGGCCGACCGTTCTTTCAAAGTCCCAAATCCAATGTACTACATTCCCTGATCATCCGCTGTGGCGGGAGCTTTTTAATAATTTATGTTTTAATAAGGAGTTTTCGTGATTGGTCCGAAAACAACCTATCTAAGAATATGTCCCGTGTTCCTTTTCTAATATGATATCGTTTCAGGATCCTTTCTTTTATCCAGTTCTATAATTTGCAAGGAAACTGAGAAGAAAAATTAAGTATATTTTATTTTTATGTTTCTTTCATTTCGATTTCATAACCTTTCTTTTAGTATGAATGAATATATAAAAAAACAACTACTATGACTCAATAATTGGATTAGGTACAGAAGATGCATAATGTATGTGATCTGTAATAATCTTATTTTAATAATTCTACTCACTAATTAAGGTTATGGATTATAGATCTTAAGCATAACCAATAAGAGAAGCGTCTTTCTCTAATCTCTTCCATGGCTTCTTCTCCACCTCCTCGTGGCCTCTTGATGTCCTTCTTCGTCCTCCCTCTACTCTCCCTCCTAATAAATCCCGCAACCTCTATTCGCACCTCCATCATCAAGCTACCAGGAAGCGACGATTCTCGCTCCTCCGCCGCAGACACCTACTGCGAGAGCTGGAGATTGGCCGTCGAGACCAACAACGCCGGAACATGGGATGTGCTTCCATCCTCGTGCGTTGACTCCGTCGCCCGTTATCTCAACGGAGAACAGTACGGTTCTGATTACAGTGTCATCGTCGATTATGCGCTGGCCTTTGCTAAAACGGTTAACATTTCCGGCGACGGAAAGGACGTGTGGATCTTCGACATAGATGAGACGTTACTCACGAATATCGGCTACTATATGGCTCATGGTTACGGGTATTGATCTTTCTATTATAAGCCGTTGGATTTTACTGATGTTAAAATCAACGGTTGTGATTATTGTTCAGTTATAACAATCTGAATTATTGTTCAGTTGGAGATCCGGTTTTGTCTTAACTGCATTGTTTGACCTAGAATAACGTTCAGTTCCGTTGACTTTTATTTTTTCTCTAGTATATCTAGGTCTGAACCGTTTGATTCCAAAAGGTATAATGAGTGGGTGGTACGTGGTACAACTCCAGCTTTTGCTGTGAGCTTGAGACTGTACAATGCTATCAAGAAATTTGGTTTCACTATCGTTCTACTAACTGGTCGGGACGAGGACAAAAGGAATGTCACGGAGACAAATCTCCGAGATGTCGGTTATTCTGGTTGGGAAAGGCTTCTCTTGAGGTAAAAAGCTATACCAAAATGCTTTGTTCTTTGATTCGAGGAGGACATCCAAACCGGTATATAATCCATCTAACCATCTAAACCGGTAATAAGTAAGCTTGTTGGTTAAACCGCAGAGGTCCTGAAGATCAAGGGAGGACAGCTACAAATTACAAATCCGAGCAGCGATCGAAATTGATCAACCAAGGCTTTAAAATCCGTGGCAATACCGGTGATCAGTGGAGTGATCTTCTAGGCTTTGCCGTGGCTGATCGATCTTTTAAAGTCCCAAACCCAATGTATTACATTCCTTGATTTTTAATCTCTGATTGTTGAATTGAGTAACAAGCATATAGGCCATGCTTTTTACATGTGGCTGTGACTAGTAGTAAGTCGTAGTTTGTTGTTTGTTTTGCTATCGGGGACTTCTTGCCAGTTATTAGTTTATACAGCTGGAGATCTTGGCGACTTGAAATTTAAATTTTCGGTGACATGAGCGGATCTAGAATTACGTTTGATGGGGGCACACATAAATTTCTCATTGTTTTAATTTTTTTTTATGGGGACATTCTACATACTCTATATTAAATACTAAAGGAAAATAAGAAATTAGTTGGGGCCACATGCCCCCGTACGTTATCCCCTGCGTCCACCCCTGATGTTGTCCCCCACAAGAACACAATGGAATCTACTAGTGTCTATTACCAAACTTGTCTAGCGAGGTACTACATCAATCTCTGGAAACGAAGATACCAAAGATATAAATAGGACATGAAGCTGAAAGATTAAAACTTTAAGCAAACGAAAGTTTCTATCTCAGACTAAGTTGTCCTATAGCATAAAGATGATGTCGTGAATCGTAGTTAAAAATATAAGTCCCGTTCGCGAGGTTGCAAGACCAGCGTCGCACACTTCAAGTACAGAGTAAAATGAATGTCCTAACATTTAAAACGAAACAATATCTACAAAAATTTCGTGGTTGATTTTACAAAATTAGTGTGGTTGATTTGTTTGATCGCATTAAAGTTTCCATTCTAGACAGTAAAAATGTAACAGAGATGTGAAGAACCGATCAAGGAGAAGGGAATGACCTGCACTCTTTGTAGCGGTCATAAAAATCGCCACTCCATCCTTGAGTATTAATAGTATCGGCTCACTATAAACACATGCATCATTCAGCTCTGCTAGACACATCAATCGTCTTTTCTGTCCACCGTACACGTTGACAATTCATAACTGTTCCTCGAGGCTCCAACCTTCCTCGTTGTACTTTGTGAACCTTTCTCTCTCACCCATAGACTATCTGAAGAAAAGTTCGGCGTCGAAGCATGCAAATTTATATGAGAGCTCTGCTGGTTGGAGTGGGGTTAATGAGCACATAAATGAAAACCTAAGCAGTTATAATTCTAAGGAGGGCATCACCTGAAGAAAAGGCAGAACTCTATTAATTGTCGATATTCATAAAATATGGAAACCTTCTACACAGTGGAAAAAAAAAGAAATATTTATCTACTGAAACGATCTAGATCAAGCATAGAAATCAATGGCCACTCACGCCCTGCAGCCTTTGCTTCTTCTCCTTCTGTCACTTTTTTCGTACCAGCTGCTTTGGGTGCCTCCGTCAATTTTAAGAACTGCTTCGCAACGAACCCTGAACGTCGCGTCAACGTCACTAGTCTTAAGATCAATCCATACTCGTTTAGTCTTGGCGGTGCAGGTGGAACCTTTACGCTAACCGCTAATGCAAGTAAGCAAATTTTTTGTTTCTGATGATTTTTTCGGCAAGTCAAACTTTTCTAATATTTTAAATCTTTGGTGTGTGCAGACTTTAACATAAGAGCGGAAAATATGGAGTTAACTACGTTCAGTAAACCATTTATGATGAATCTGGTGAGAAAAACATACTCCCTCTGTAATGTGACGGCATGCTCTGTTACACCTGGCCCTGTTGTGTTTTTTTTGCCTATCTTTATACCCAAGAGTCACTCTATACTTGTAAGTTTTTCTTTACACTAGTTTGAGACGAGTCCCTTAATCTATGCATTTCAAACCTATTGATGATTTGATTTTTTTATGACCCTTCTGTAGACACCGCAGAGTGAATACTTTGCTGCAATAAAGATGTCCGAGAGTAGAACAAACCAGATTATGTGCGTCTCCTTCGAATATCCGATCATTAATTGGACTTAATCTTATGATGTATCCTTTGTTTATTTTTATTGAACAATGATGTATCCTTTGTTTCAAGACTTTTAAAGTCTCTCACGTTATTCCTTGTATTATGTAATCTTCCTTTTTTTACCTATTATGTGTCGTCCAACAATAAATTAGGGTTGTTGTATACACACGAACACGGTACACCATTAACCCCATGTTCATGTTATGTATCCCTGTTTTTATTTGGTTTGCACCTTTGATTTTAAAGACGTTACTTTCCTGAAACTATTGTCTCTGTCTTAAGCTGTAACTAACAGAAAACTGCATACGTTCCAAGATGCTACTCAACCAAACATTCAATCGAAATTTCATATTCAGTTCACGTTATATTTCAGTTCTATTTCTTGGATTGAGGAAATTTTTGATATTCAATTCCTGTTAAATTTGACACTGCATTTGATTAGCTAGTTTCATGCTTATGTTTCTTACTAAACAACAACTGTAAAATAATTTTAAAAAGGTTTTTGGATTATTATATAGTTTAAAAAAAGATTTTTGGATTTTAAAAATAAAATTTTGAAACAAAAATTCGAAAAGAAAAATTAAAATTTTAAAGTTAGAAACGTATATTTAAATATAATAATAATAATAATTTATTTTATTTAAATAATTATTTATATATCTATAAAGTAAAAGTAAAAATGTATTTACCTATTTAATGAAACATGTTTTGGTAATTTTCCTTCTTGTGTGCTCTTTTGGTGAAAAAAACTATTCAAAATGTAATTTGAGAGAATTGCTCTTGTTATAAACATAATAACAAAAATAACGATACCCCATGGGAGTAATTAAAATAAGTGACTGCAAATTACTTGTAACCGGTGAAAAAAACAAACAGCTTCCTAAAGAAGGACATAATGCTTGATCATCTGGTAACACAACAAATGGTGAAGCGCTTAACGCATGTTCACCAAACGCTAAACCAAATTCTCTATCAAAAGTACTTTATATAGCATCATGAGCAATCAGCCTTGGAAACTCAGTTTGTTGGTTTCTCAGTGGACTGACGGCTCGTGATGTTATATCTTTTTCTCTAAGATTTGAATTCCCTGTGGTGTAGTTTCATTGGTTCAGTGGAAACCAGCGGAACCGAGTGCGGGAGCCCAATAGTCAGCGCCGTTGTCGCTGCCGACTTGGAGTGTGCATGAGATTGGAACAAGACATAAACCTCGACTTTTCAAGTCTTTCTTAGGTTCTTCATTTGCATTTTGATTGTCCATGGACGAAGACGAGGCTCCTTTTCTCTTCATGCACTGAGCATTCTCGAGCTAAACCATAAAATTAAAGTTAAAATAATTTAAGATGTATAGCATTTTTTATGCAAATATTTTATAGTATTATTTAATAGAAAAGTAGTACAATATTCTGGAACATATATAACGAGGTCATTTGTAATGTATACCACCATTATTCCATATCTTACAAGAAAAATACAGTTTACAAACTTTTATACATAATTATCTATAGGTTTATTAACTACTTTATTGTATTAGGCAGAAAAATATAATAACTTACATTTTTATCAAAAGATAAGTGTTTTCCTATCAAGAATATACATTATTCAGTAAATTACTTTTATGTGTAAAAGGTATGAGTCGACAAACGCCTGAGATTCATGATATTTTGCCTGAATTAATAAATAAAAATATCTATCACTATTTTATATATATATATATATATATATATATATATATATATATATTTCATGGAATTTTCTCAGAGTAAGCATATAATAAAAGACCCGCCTAAAGAATTTGAAATGCACTTTCATGGAGAACAAAAATAAGGAGAAAATTTGATATTTGAACAAAATTTAGTAACTTTGTTGGTTTTAACAAATTGCTGCATATAATAAATAATAATCGATAATGCTAGGGAGCGCAATAAAAAAGCTGGCGACTGCATCTTTTAATAATAATTCAACTTTATCTTTAAAGAAAATAGTAAAAAGTAATAAAAAAGCAAATGAATATATTATGGAAACTAAAGCTGTCCGTATTTGTAGATTTGGATTCAACTGATCCAATAAAAAGTGAAGTGTTTAAATTATGGTTATAATACATAAAGCAGGCAAAAGATGAACGTTTACCTGACCAGGGTCCTCAGGAAATAAGTAACTTCTTTGCAACTATTTATAAAAACATTCATTAAGAGAGATTTTAGTATATATGATACGAGTATAAAACTACAGCGTATAATCTACAGTATTATGATGTGTGTCTATATCAGTGTGTATATATGTGCGTATTATGTCATTTTTTTTGTCAACGCGTATTATGTCATATATGTATGTATGTATAAATGGAATTTTAGTGCTTACATGCTGTTGCTGCCTCATATTCCCCGATGCAGTCGTACTGAAGTATGGATGACTCAGAGCCTCCAACAGTTGAAGAAAAAAACATAAATGTTTCATACATAATCACATCAACACTTTGCCAAAAAGCAAAATCACATCAATCAAAGATTACTTAACATGAAGAGAACAAAACTGTATACTATCTTTATCTATATTTCTCTCTTTTGTAATTTTTAATAATATGTGTCTCTTTTCAGCATCTTTTAAAATCAGTGCAATGATTTTTGTCGACCGATAAATATATTAATGATTTTTTGGCCAAAGGCTTTCCATTCATACACTACAACTAAAATATGTTTATCTAGTGATGTCATACTGAGATGGATTTCCACTAATCAAGAAATTGATACTCGGAGACCTAATACCAAAAGTATTTAGAGATAATTTTTGTTTCAATACTTGGATTACTTTTTTTTTTTTGAAACTTTACTTGGATTACTTTGACAGACAAATACTGTTCTCGAAGTTAAGTTTAGCATTATTTTCCATCTACTGAAAGGAAAATGAGAATATTGAGGGTTGACGAGTTACACCTCAATTTGACTATGAAGGAATCTAATGTATCCAATAGCTTCCGACAGGACAGAAGCTGTGTCAGTCTGCAAAAGATGGGTAAAAACGGAAGAAAAATGCTTTAGATTACGAAAAATAAAACTTAAATATATTTCCATGTCGAAAGTTGATTTGATAAGATTAGATTAATAATGCGATTGCTAACTAAAGTTGATCTTTTTTGTGAAAATTAAAATTGATCTTTACCTTGCCAAATGGAGATACTAACTGATGAAGCGCTGCGATCCGGCCTCCTAGTTTCTCCTTTCTCACCTATAATATTATCACCATGAATTAATTAATAACATGAAGTAAAAGCTTGATATATATGCATGTGTGCATTTTTTTACTAATTACCATGCACAAAACAACGTGCTTGATTTAAGTAGAATTGATTAATATATTTGTATATATAGCAGTTATATCATCGAATCAGAATGCTTATACGAGCCGCTCCACCCCTACGTTCGAAAAGTTACAGTATAAAAAAAAAGCTTTAAATCTAAAATTTAATATATAGTATTAAGGGAATATTGTTGAGATGTATTTAAGAAAGCGAGGAAAAAAGAATAATGAAGAAGGAAGAAGAAGACAAAACAAGAAAGAACAAAAGAGTTACGAAACACAAAAACCACAGCTTATTCTGTGCCTATTCTGTTTTGTTTGCTTCTTCTGTTCTCCTTTGTGTTTGTGTTTTAGTTTTGTTATTATGATGTCAGAAAAAGATTTTATATATTGAAGCTATATAAATTAACTGAAGTTTCGATGATATAATCAATTCGTTACCTTAAGGGTTGACTGTGACGAAGGAGAAGCTTGAAGCCTTGGCTTCTTATTAGTAGACCCACAAATCTCTAAGCTGTTACACTTCATCACATATATAGATACCAAACAAAAATATAGATCAATAAGTCATTAATCGAAAAATCATAGCAAAATCAATTCCGTTGAGTATTCAATTTTGACCCAAACCTTAAAATAAGACATAGTTTGTCTGTTTTTAAATGAACTTTAAGAATTCACTTTTTCATAGTAGTGCTTACTGCTTTTCATGTATAGTATTAATTAGATTTCATTTCAGAATTTCTCTTTCTGCGATCTCTTAAACTCTGTTTAGCATTATTATATTAATCAAATTATCAGAGATGGAAAAAAATACCTCAGAAGATCGATCTGGAGGACTGTGTTTACCCTCGGAGAAATTAAGACCATTGTGATTGCTTGAGAAATCCAACTTAGTATTGTTATTGTTGCTGTTATCGTCGTTGCTATTGAAGCTTGTTGTGGTTGTGGTTGTGGTTGTGACACAAGACTTGTTAAGAGGTGAGTTTGGAGAACATGTGAGATAGCCATTGCTGTTGTTAATGTTGCTCTCTTGTTTGATGTCAACAACCCCCATGGAAGCTTGTTGGTGGCTTAGGACTTGTTCTTCCCAATTCTCTAATCTCATGTTTCCTTGAAAACTATGGTGTTGTTGTCCATCATGATGATTATGATGGTTCATTATCTCCAATCTCTCTTCTTCTCCCATCATCAATCCACTCCTTGGTTGACAAATAAAATATATGTATTAGATTTGCGTATTTGATACTGTAAATAGTAGAAACACATACAAAAAAAAAAAGTTTGGGTTTCATGGAAGCATAAATATAAATATTTGCATAAATATTTTCAAAGGACACACATATATAATCAATGTTAAAGAAGAAACTGAGATTAGTTACAACAATGAAAACAAAGCCATGAATTTAACTAGGATAACTCAAGATCATGTCCTTAGAGAATATTTTCGTTTCACAGTAATTATAATTATATATGGATGGAGAGAGAGAGAGAGAGTTGGGGAGTTACAAAAGAAGTTGGCTAAGGCTCCAAGACTCAGGAGGGCGTTCATTGTTTTCAAGCCAAGAAGAGATATTAGGGTTACTAGGCAAAGACGGTGAAGAAGAAGAAGAAGAGGTGGACGGATATGGTAAGAATTGCGGCAAGAAAGTTGGCATCATTCGAGGTCGTAGATAGTTGTTGTTAGGAGTCATTTGTGGCGGCAACGGCCCCTGCAGATGACCCATCAACGGTGGTGGTGGCCTCATGTCGCCGCTTACGTTCCACCAATTAGGATTTCCGGCCGCCATCAGCTGTTGAAGAACCGGCGAACTCTCCGAAACTTGTCTGTTCATGCCCTTCTCTCTCTAGGTGTCTTTACTAATCCAGGACTTTGGAGAAACTTTGAGAAGTGTTTGTTCTTTAGTTAAGTAGTTTTAGTTTCTTGGGGAAGAGAAAGAGAATGAAAACTCAAAACTAACTTATATTTGTGATCTCGTTTGTTAACATGTGATGTTAATTTATTTGGAATTTCTTTTTTGTTTTTAATTTTGTCTTCTTCTTCTCTCTTTTTCGTTCCATTATTTTTCTTTTCTTTTATTTATTTTCTTTTTACTTTTTCCCCATGCTTTAGCTTTATCTTAAAGTGGGACAGAGAAAGGTTGTAGCTACTTTTATCATTTAAATCAATATATACATGAGTTGAGAAAAACAAACAAACAATATTTTAAAATCAAGGAAATAAATATTATTCGAATATTTTATATACGGTGTATAAATTTTCATATATATACTCTAACAACTAGGTGTTGTGCCCGCATATGCGGGCATAATTTTCTTACGAATATTTATTATTTTTTGTTTTATTAATTCTAAAATAATATTATAAGTTATTTTCTATAGTTTTAAATAACCTAAATAAACATTAAAAAAATTTAAATGATTTTTCATCAAAATCAATATGCTTATTATAATGTTGAAAAACATCCACATAATAAAATATTTTTGAAAATATATTTATATTCTTTCTTAATATTTAATTTTAATTTTTTTATAACTTACATTTTTTTCACAATTAAAAAGATTATTTTCAGATAACTGTATAATATTCTATAAGATATCTTATGTTTTAAATATGCATGAATGTGGGTAATTATCCATTTAATTTATAATAAATTAACTAATATAATAACATATAAATTTATATCACTAACATAAAATTTGGTTTTAACTAATTTATATATAAATATATAAATTTCATTAAGGTATCATTAACTTGAACCATTCCAATTTTTTATACCTAATATTTAATTATATAATTAAAAGTATCTTTATACAAATGTTTTTGTTTGATTAATATTTAATTAAAATCGATTTTATATTTTAATTTTAAATTTTTTTATAACTTACATTTTTACTTTTCACAATTAAAAAGATTATTTTCAGATAACTGTATAATATTCTATAAGATATCTTATGTTTTAAATATGCATGAATGTGGGTAATTATCCTATTAATTTATAATAAATTAACTAATATAATAACATATAAATTTATATCACTAACATAAAATTTGGTTTTAACTAATTTATATATAAAATATATAAATTTCATTAAAGGTATCATTAACTTGAACCATTCCAATTTTTATACCTAATATTTAATTATATAATTAAAAATATCTTTATACAAATATTTTTGTTTGATTAATATTTAATTGAAATCGATTTTATATTTTAATTTTTAAATTTTATACTACAATGATATTATTTTTAAAAGCCAAAATCAATTTTATATAAAATTAAGATCTATAAGCATTATCATATTGTTACAATATTATATTCAGATAATAATAACATATATAAGAATTATNTTTTATAAACTTATTATATTAATTATTCTTTATTATCTAAGATAATAACATATTGTACTTATCTAATTTTATTTTTAAAATTTCGTTTTTAATTATAAAATTAGTTATATAAAAAATTTCATTAAGGGTAAAATAGATATTAGCCACTCTAACTTTTAACGTGAGAGCTCCGTTGCAAAAAATCACTTCGCAAATAATAGTATAGATGTTTTGGGTATATCACAAGTCTCTCGCATCTATGATCTATGCATCCCCCTTTTAATCGAAAGTAAATTTAATTATCCTTTCCCATCTCTAATCATTCTTAAAATCGCAGTGGTTAATTCTGAGCCAACACACTAGGGTTTGAATTTGGAGGTACTAGCTAGTCGAGCTAACAGTTTTCCCCTTATCTATTCTTCCTATATATATATACTAAGTTAAGTGATAAGTTTACTAAATTTATGTTGATAATTGTTTTTCACAAAAAAATTCAACGATAACACCACCGCATCCTAAAAAAAAAACACCGCATCGTGAATACTTCATGTATTCCTTACAAAGTCCAAACCACGCTGTTATTTGTTTTTTAATAACACAAATAATTTTTTAATCTTTTGTTATAACTAGATTTTTTCAAAAAAATAAGAAAGCAATATTAAATAGTGTTAATAGTGATTAAAAGAAGGATTTTTAACATAAAAACCCCTCAACTAAGTTTATTTTGGGTAAAAACCCCTAAACTAAGTATTTAATGAAAAAAACCTCAAACTAACTTTATTTAGTGAATTAAACACTCGCCGGTCATAATTACCAGTACTACCGGTAAATCTTTAGTTTAGGGGTTTTATCATTAAACATAAAAATTCAAAAAAAAAAAAGAAAAAAAATCAAAATATAATAACATTGTCTAAAAGTTCGTAATTTTAATTTTTAAAATTAGCATTTTAAAAATTTCTGTAAATATATAATTACAAAACTAGCATTTTAAAAATTTCTGTAAATATATGAATGATTTCTTATCCTTATAAAATGGATTTTTAACTCTAAAATACCTTAACTAAGTTTGTTTTGGGTAAAAACCCCCAAACTAACAAGTAAACCCCCATATTAAACATAGTTGAAGGGTTTTTATCATTAAAAATCTAAAAAAATTATAAAATTATCTAAAAATTAGTAACTTAAATTTTTAAAATTAGCATTTTGCAAACTTTCTGTAAATATATGAGTTTGATTTGTTTTAACATCAATATTATATATATAGATTAAAATTTTAAAACACCAAAATATAATAAAAAGCATCTAAAGATTTATTATTCCATTTTTATTAAATAAGATATAATATTTATTCTGTTTTCTTGTTTTTATATTTATAAATTTTGATAATTTTTATTACAGGTAAATCATTAGATAATTTTTCTTATATTTTCTTGGTTTTTACATTTTAAATTTATACATATATAATTTTGATTTTAAAAGGATAACAAATCATACTCATATAGTTACAAATTGTTTTTTAAAATGCTAGTTTTTAAAATTAAAATTACAAACTTTTAGATAATGTTATTATATTTTAAATTTTATTGATTTTTGTATGTTTAATGATAAAACCCCTAAACTGAAGATTTAGCGGTAGTACTGGTAATTATGACCGGCGAAGGTTTAATTCACTTAATAAAGTTATTTTGGGTGTTTTTTCATTAAATACTTAGTTTAGGGGTTTTTACCCAAAACAAACTTAGTTAAGGGGGTTTTATGTTAAAAATCCTTAAAAGAAACTTCAAATAGAATAGTTATTGTATTTAGAAATAACTTTGAGCATGTTAATACATAGCATAGTCGGGAATGTAGAATTAGTCAATTTCGTTTGCCCTTGTATTTTTGAAACATCGTAACTTAAGTATTTATTTAAACAATTATTTGTATATATATATATATATATCTACTCTATTAAAATAGAGCCATTCCTTTTATCTACTGATATATACGTTGTCATTTAAATTTGAACCCTTTCTAGAGTGTTACAAATAATACAAGTCATATAGTTGACTGAACCGCATTACTTAAATTAAACCGGCAGTTATTTATGGAATAGAGTTTTGGGCTTACTTTTGTTTTTGTGACAAATTATATAGTTTGGGTTTTGGGCTTAGTATTAAAGAAAAACTCCAAAAAAACATTGAATAAATGTTCTACATTAATGAATCAAAAAGTCAATTACTATTTTAAGGCCCAAAAGTATTTAATATTTTAACAAAACAAAATTATATATATTATTAATCACTTATTTAAATCATGTGCTTTAAAGCATGTCAATATTTTTTATTTTAAATAACAATCACTCTATCTTGATAAATTTCAATGGTAACTTTTATAATAGTTTATTTTTATTATTTTTCTTAAATTATTTACTGATTTTAAAAAAATAAATGTAAGCAAACTAAAAACCAAATCTAAAAATTAAAATCCAAAACCAAAAGCTGAAAACGCATGTTATATTTTTGCTTTTGTTTTCTTTATTTACACAAAATAAACTATTGCATTTTTTTAAAATAAAAATTCTCATCTTTTCAGTTTTAAATTAGATGTTCGATTCTTTGGGATTTGTTTGTTGGTAATTATGAGTTCAAACTAACTCAGCGGATCTAAAAGCTAAAAACCCAGCTGAAAATCAAAACTAGAAACTTAAAAATTAGAAACTTAAAAAATTAGAAATCAAAAAACTAAAATCTAAAACCAAATCTAATAATAAAAACTGAAACTAAAAACTAATGCAAAGCAATCATCACCACAAATTTTGGATTACTGATTTTATACCAAAACATACTTTAAATAAAGAGAAAAATCTAATTATATAAACTTTTAATCAAAAACAATTTCCGCGCTTTCAAGCGCGGGTCAAAATCTAGTATATTTATATAGTAAAGGTATAAATGTATTTTGTCTACTTAATGAAATAAAAGTATAAATGTATTTTGTCTACTTAATGAAACCTTAATGTTTAGATATTTTTGAAAAATATTTAATTAGAAAAGTTAAATATGAATAATAATATCAAATGGAAGTTAAAAGTCAAATTCTCATTTCTATTTGGCCAAAAGAAGAAACAGTGAATTTTTTTTCAGTGAATTTATCCACGGTGAAATGATATCAACACATTCACGATCTTACGATCGTTACCTTCCCTTTAAACGTAAAATGAGGAACACTTTAAAGAAAAATGTTGCGGAATTTGATCAAAATGTAATAAAGAATGCTACCGACTTTGTGACTAGTTTTTATATTGAGGAATTGGACCAACATGTAAATGTAAGGAAAAATGTTGTTCGCAAAAGAAAAAAAAAAGTTCGTTAAACGCATTTTCATAGTTCGGATACAGAGAACCCTACGCAACATATTTCAGTACTTTCCGTCAGCAAAAATAGAATCTTTCGTTGGAAAAAAAATAAGAAACAATTGATAGTTTTTTTTTTATATTCTAAATATTGTATAAGAGTTACTATTGAAGTGAAAACAAATGCATGTGGGTAATACTACTCTGTATATGCACGCTTTTAGTTAACACTCATCAGCAATCGATGAAACCATTGATATATGAGGACTG